GATCTTGGGGTTGTGAGTTCAAGCCCCATGTTGGATGTAGAGATTACCTTTAAAACATCGTAAAAAAAAAAAAAAAAAAAAATCATAAAAAAAAAAACCATGAAAAAGCATGGCAGTAGTGCTCAGAACAGAAGCAGTGTGGTCAGGAGGACCCCAAGTCACACCTTCTGCCCAGCAAATTAATAGATATCAAAGCCATATAGGAATAAGTCTCTGGGAGAAAAAAAAAAAAGGCCTGTGATTGCTCAACCCTTTAACCATGAACCCACATGAACAAAAAAGGCCCTCTAAAGTTGTCCAGTCCCCAAAGGGTGAATCCTCCCTAATGGAGGATCCTTTGAAGAGACTGTGGAGTATAAGGGCAATCTTCTGGAGAGCAGAACTGGAGCATCCAGATTGACTGACCAAGAAATTCACACACTGCAGGACTGAGAGTCATCATTTTCCCTGTCCAGCTGAGTAAGTAACATGCTATGATCTACTGACATCCCATTTTCCCTCCACATCCTACATTCCTTATGTATTGGGTGCATTGACATTTGGCCTTATACTTCCAGATCATGAGGAATTACTCTGGACCTGAACAAAAGGAATTCATATTACTCAGAGATCCTAAACTAGGGCATGGACTTGATTCCTAGATGAACACCATCTTTCCTGAAGAATACTAAACCCTAGAATCCTATCTCAATCCAATTCCACTTCATCAGAGTTTGCAAAACTTCAAAAAGCTGGAAGTTTGCAAAACTTCTAGCTAGAAGCTAGAAGTTTGCAAAACTTCTAGCTAGAAGCTAGAAGTTTGCAAAACTTCAAAAAGCTAGAAATTTGCAAAACTTCTAGCTAACTAATGGCATCTTCCCCTGTTTTCTATCATTTATACCATCTTTTTCTATTTCCTATTTGATATTTTAATGTAATTTGAATGGAAGTTAAATGAATGCACTCCATGGCCATCTTGAAATAAAAGTATAGTTGGTTCATTTTAAAGCTTTTTTACTGTTTCATTTTTAAAGTTCTGTTCTTGATATTTTAAATAATTTTTAATTAATTTTTTAAAAAATAAGTTCTATGTCCAACATGGGACTTGAGCTCATGACCCTGAGATCAAGAGCCACATCCTTTATTGACTGAGCTCACCAAGTGCCCCTGTTCTTAATATTTTAATTTTTAGGGGAACCTGGATGGCTCAGTCAGTTAAGCCTCTGATTCTTTTTTTTTTTTTAACGTTTATTTATTTTTGAGACAGAGAGAGACACAGCATGAATGAGGGAGGGTCAGAGGGAGGGAGACACAGAATCTGAAACAGGCTCCAGGCTCTGAGCTGTCAGCACAGAGCCCGACGCAGGGCTCGAACTCACTGACCGCGAAATCATGACCTGAATCAAACTCGGCCACTTAACCAACTGAGCCACCCAGGCGCCCCAAGCCTCTGATTCTTGACTTTGACTCAGGTCGTTATCTTGTAGTTCTTGAGTTTGAGTCCAGAGTCGGGCTCTGCTCTGACAGCATGGAGCTGGCCTGGGATTCTCACTCTGTCCCTCTCTCTCTGCCCCTCCCTTACTCTCTCTCTCTCAAAATGAATGAAACAAACTTAAAAAAATTAAAAGAATAAGAAAAAAGTATACTTTAATTTGTAATCTTGCATTTTAAATTTTCTTCAGTCTTTTATTTTTAAGACCCAATAGCTGAATATTAAAAAAAATTGTTTAACATTTATTCATTTTTTGAGACAGCGAGAGACAGAGTGCAAACAGGGGAGGGGCAGAGAGAGACGAAGACACAGAATCTGAAACAGGCTCCGGCTCTGAGCTTTCAGCACAGAGCCCAATGCAGGGCTCAAACTCATGAACCATGAGATCATGACCTGAGCCGAAGTTGGCTGCCCAGCTGACCAAGCCACCCAGGAGTCCACAGTCTTTTTTAATGGTTATGTATTTTTGAGAGAGAGAGAGAGAGAGAGAGCATGAGCGGGGAGGGGCAAAAAGAGGGGGACAGAGGATCCAAAGCAGGCTCCATGCTGACAGCACAGAACCTGATGCAGGGCTCGAACTCAGGAACTGTGAGATCATGACCTGAGCCAAATTCAGATGCGTAACCGAGTGAGCCACCCAGGTGCCCCTTTTCTTCAGTCTTTTTATAAATTTGCATTGCTTTCTTCCTGTGACTTGCCTTCACTGAAAGAGTTGCATTGGTAATGGCGTTAGAGAAGCTCCAAACCCAGAGATTGAGGACACACTATCCCAAATGTGGCACCTTGGCAGAGTGAACATTTTAAGTTGAAGGAGTCAGAAAACAGCAGGAGCAGGAAGGTCATTCTGATCTCCCTCCCTTGCCCTTTTTCCCTGAAACTGCTCATAAAATCATCCTCCTCATCATCAGAGAAGTGTCCTCCCAATAGCTGGAGGTCTGTTTCTCCTGTTACATAAAACTTATGTTGAATAAATTTGCATACCTTTCTCCTGTTAATCTGTCTTTGTCGGTTTAATTTTCAGACTCAGCCAGCGACCCAAAGAAGGTGGAGGAAAACTTTTTCCTCCCCTCACCACAAAGAAGAGCCTGAAAACCAGACCACCCCAGCTATCCCAGCAGCAAATGAGCTCCTTAGTGTATCTGCCATCCCTCTTAATGGTGGCTTAAGTAATAATCATTCGTTGGGGCCCTGAAATTCTGAAGTGCTGCTGTTTTTTGGTTTCTTGAATCGTGTTGTTTCTCGTTAGAGTCACTGGGTTCCAATCAGTGCCATATACAACTGCTGGATTTGGGAAAAACTGTGTCAACAATATGCCCTTGGCAGCAAAAGGAGGGATTCAAATCTCAAAGATGCAAATGTAGGGAAGCAAAATGCACCATCCCAAAAAATTCTTCTTTGGCATAAGGATTATCTTCAGAGGGTTATTTTTAAGAAACTGCAGACATAAGAGAAGCTGTGAAAACTAAGTAAAAGTTAATCTTTTGTAAGAACAATTTGCATTTATAAGGAAAATCTCCATTTGTCAAGGTGTCTCTCTCTGTACCAAGGAAACTAAATCTGACTCTAAATCTCTAGAAATTTACCAGTGGAGAAGGCATGGATTTAAGTCTGTATAACAACCTTACTCTTGTTTACTGTGCTTTTCAGGGTAACCTCTCCTAACTGGCCTCGACATCCCCCAACATCTTAGCTGGAGATACTATTTAAGGTGATGGCTTGGGCCATCTGGGGGAGTTACTCAGTTTTCCTTGGTGTCCCCCAGGTATACAGGAGGTATACATGTTATTAAACTTCTGTTTGATTTTCTTCTGTTAATCTGTCTTTTTATTACAGGTGTGTCTCAGCCAAGAACCTAGAAGAGTAGAGGGAAAATTATTTTTCCTCTCCCCCCAAAACTTCACTTTGGTGAGGAACCAAATGATGCTGGAGAAATACAGAAGATAAAACTCTCGGCATATTATCTACCTCAGATGTGGTTAATTCTCCTAAGCAGGTTTTGCAAGTGTATCAGGTTGGTGTGAGGTGCTGACCGGGAGCTTTACTACACTCAGAGTGACGTGAGAAGGCAGGCATAAGTAAGAGACAGCAGAACTGTTGAGGTCCGTGGCCCTATTTTTAAGTCAAGTTTTTTAAAAATGGCATTTCAGGCAGCAGATTCCCCAGGCTTTCCCAGTGCTGGGAAAGATCAAGCTGATTTAGAAGGTTTCAGGAACAAAAGGTGTTAAGAGGTTTTGGAATAAGTAAGAGTTGGACAGTTAGAATTCGTGGGGCAGCAACCATCTCTTCCCTCTCCTGTTCACACAGAGGAAGATTTGACATGAGCACTTTACTTCCTTTTCGACAAGACTGAAAGTGCCATATATCCTGTTTCCACTATGTTAGGAAATAGTGATTATCTCTTTTCTGATATTTGCTAAGCTACACAGCCTTCTAGCACCTCATTTACCTGAGACAAGCAGAACGAAGCATGATAAAAAGGGAAGCAAGAGAGAGGGAGTGGCCTACATTCCCATCACCTCGTTTAAGAATACATGAGTTTCCTGCAAGTGGAACTGACACCATGGAAAGTGGCAGGACTGAAGCCGACTTGCTAATACTCCCCACAACACACACCCATGAGTGGAGTGAGTAAGCCCAGTCACTTTCCACAAGCAAACTCATGTTCCTTTCCATCCCAAGTGGTGGTGATCCAAGAGTTAAAGGCTATGGACTAAACTGCCTTGGGAGTTAAGAAGGAAGGGAGAGAAAGAGGTATGAATCTCCCAAGCCAGGGGACTATGATAGAGAGCCCCTACAGAACCCTCAAGGAATAACCATGGCCAAATTGTGCTAGAGAAGAAACTGTCTCATGGACAGAACTAACAAATAACAACACAAGAAAAGTAAAATGTAAGGAGACCTTGGTTGTGTGTTTTCTCCCTGGGTGTTGCTGGAATATGCTTTTAGCTGTTTTCTGTCATTATCATCATCCTCATGATTTTGTCCAGAGGGTTACCCTCTTCATCTAACAATAGGTAGAAATTAGCCATTCTTTATTACTAGAAATGATCTACAGTGACCTTCTCACATATGTTGCCCCAAATTCACAGTTAGAAGACACTTGGGAAAAGAGTAGCCTCAGACATGATGCATAGAGTTCCTTTATTATAAGTAATCAAAATTGATAAAACCGGAAAAGTAAACAAAATATTCTTGTTGAACAAAAATTAAATATGGCTGCCCCAAATAACTAAAATAATACAGTGTCCAATAGTTAAACTCTGTCTTCAAATATTAACATTACAGATATACATCCTTTACCCTGGTAACTTTATAAAGTATTTCATTTTTCCTAAAAGCATATTATATTAATCACAATTTGCTTAAGTAATTCTGATATGACATTTAAAATAATCATCTCTTAAATATTTAAATACCATTAGAATGCAACTTTGATCATTTGGAGGAATTTCCATTTCAACTCAATATCCATATATTTACATAGTTTACTCTTTTCTGAGTAGGTCACCTCCAGGCCTCTTAGAATATTTCACCCTTTTCTACGAAAGTGTATGCGATTCATAAGTTCTCTGAACTTCAGTATTAAGGAGTAGTTATTTATGTGGTCTTTCCATGTTTCATAAGTCCTTCTAAGTTTGTCATAATAACTTTCATTTTTCAAATTGAAATCTGATCCAATTTTTTTTAAATAATTGTCTTTTTTCCATATTTCTCTCCAGGAGCCTTTCAATTTTTCCAAATAACTTTCTTTTTCATATTCTTCCTTCCATATTCCTTCTCCTTTTTTTAACGCTGTTAATTCAGCTTTAAGTAAGTTTCTGTGAATTGTCCAATAGATTTTAGAATCATAATCTAGCCCTTTAACAAGAACAGTTTTGCCAAGGCCTCTTCTCAAAATTTCTTCATTCAGACTCACACTAAAATATCTACCCTTGAATAAAAAATAAAACAAACCAATTACTTAAGAATTTAGTAATTTATTCATTTACTTAAAATCAGTCATTCAGCATTTTTTCCTCCAGAGAAAAGCCAAAAAACAGGAAGCAAAAGGGTCCCCAAGAGCTCAAAACAGCTAATGCTAAATCCAAGAATTTCATTACTAAAAGAGATTCTTGCTCAAAGTTAACTGCCTCTTTTGTAACACAGTAGTTCTTCACAGACTCACTGGTCATCTAACCCAAAGAAGGTAGAAGTAATAAAGTATAAGAAGTGTTCTTGATTTGTTTGTTGTTCAGAGGAATAAAGGAGCACACAAAATAGGCGAAAAGACAGAAGGCCACAGCAAAAGAAACTAAAAAGTATAAAATGCAAAATAAACTGAATCATCACTGAACTGTTAGATTAGGTTCAGAATTCCACTGTGTAGGAAGGCACTGGCATGTAAATGCATTTTTAAAAGACTTCCCACATGAGGCGCCTGGGTGGCTCAGTCGGTTAAGCATCCGACTTCAGCTCAGGTCATGATCTCGTGCTCCGTGAGTTTGAGCCCCACGTCAGGCTCTGTGCTGACAGCTCAGAGCCTGGAGCCTGTTTCAGATTCTGTGTCTCCCTCTCTCTCTGACCCTCCCCCCATTCATGCTCTGTCTCTCTCTGTCTCAAAAATAAATAAACGTTAAAAAAAAATTTTAAAGACTTCCCACAAAATTATTAACATTTAAAATAGTCCTAGACCTTGAATCTTCATCCATAAAGAAATTTCCTTCATGGAAAACCTTACTTCCTAATGAAACCGGATAAATGGGACTTTTTTCCCCACTAATTTACAGTATAAAGGAGATCCTGCTGGGGTGCCTGGCTGGCTCAGTTAGTGGAGGAGAGACTCTAGATCTGGGGGTTGTAGGTTCAAGCCCCACACTGGATGTAGAGATTACTTAAAATTTTTAAAAATCTTGGGGCGCCTGGGTGGCTCAGTCAGTTAAGCCTCCGACTTCGGCTCAGGTCACAATCTCGTGGTCCGTGAGTTCGAGACCCGCGTCGGGCTCTGGGCTGATGGCTCAGAGCCTGGAGCCTGCTTCTGATTCTGTGTCTCCCTTTCTCTCTGCCCCTCCCCCGTTTGTGCTCTGTCTCTCTCTGTCCCAAAAATAAAAAATCTTTTAAAAAAGGAAATCCTGTTTAGTTATTTATATAGTCCTTGTGAAATTTTAACCTAACAAGATCAATTTTAACAAAGTATTAATAACTGAATAGCTTTGTTAGACAAGTATTAAATTCTAAAAATGTGAAAACCCCAGGTTTAAAGTAGGAGACATTTCTAGGACTATCCAAAGGAACAAAGTAATCTTTTTTCCCTTAAATGCAGTAACTCTGAGTCATACTAATAAAGAGTTCATGGGGAGCCTGGGTGGCTCAGTGGGTTGAGCATCTGACTTTGGCTCAGGTCATGATATCACAGTTCATGAGTTCGAGGCCCACACCAGGCCTTCTGCTGTGAGCACAGAGCCCGCTTTGATCCTCTGTTCCCCTCTACCTCTGCCCCTCCCCAACTCGCACACTCTCAAAAATAAACATTTAAAAAAATAAGGAGTTCATAAATATAGTTTTAAAGGATTTATCATACTTTTCTCAATCTTAAATTTTTTAAATGTTTATTTGAGAGACACAGAGAGCATCAGCACATGTGCACAAGTGGGGGAGGGGTGCAGACAGAGAGAGGGAGAGAAAGCATCCCGAGCAGGTTCCAAACTGTGAGTATAGAGCCCAACTCAGGGCTTGATCTCAGGAACCATAAGATCATGACCTGAGCCAAAATCACATTGAACTGAATGAGCCACCTAGGCGCCCCTCAATATTTTAAACTTTAAGAGCTCATTCCCTTAAACCAAAATCAGAATAACTAAAATTCAATCTGACACATTAGTAAAATTCAACAGATGTAAATTACCACAATATGCATACTGCATAGTTTGGTCACCTAGGAAGGAATATAAACTAAAGTATATAAGGTGAAGTAGAAGCTCAGGAGCCAGAAAGAGCTGGGCTTGAATACAGGCTCTATCACTTGGTTACCCTGAGGCCCACCTGTAAATGGGAGTAAAAACAAGGACTCCAGAACAATGGTTTTGAGGATAAATGAAATACACTCCTCAACTTAAAAGAGAAGATATTGTTTCTTTTTATTTTTTTTAAGATTTTTTTAAAGTAATCTCTACACCTAATCTGGGGCTTGAACTCACAATCCTGAGATCAAGAATCACATGCCTCACCGACTGAACCAGCCAGGTGCCCCCGTGCCTCCCAGCTTACTTTTAAATATATGATGCTTCAACCGATCAGTGTTGGATAATTCTTATTTTGAAAGAACTGAAGATGACTTGGACATACAGAAATTAATGGGTCTCATTAGGCTATCTATTAATAGTTCAAAGGCTCTAAAGAATTAAAATGTTTACAATTTTAATCACTTTAATGTGAAGTTATATTTTCTTCAGATTGTTTGTTTGTTACATAATAAGAGACTTTAGAAATAAGAAAACCGTTCTTAATCCTGTCATCACATTTTAACTATTTAATTTTCTACACTCTTTTTCCAGTACTCTTCCACCAAAAGCAGTGTGGAGTAAGGCACACGCAAGGACTCAGGACAGTGGCACAGCAACATTGATGAGGCTCCGTGGCATCCCAGTTAGTTACACAGCGGCCATGGCCAACATAAAGGTAGGAAAACTCTGACACAAAGTCTTCAGATGACTGATTACTGATCATTAATAGTATGCAAGTACGCTCAACGTTAGAGTTCAAAGATTGAGCAGTATTAACCTTCAGAAAACACTTACTCTTTGTAGCTTCCAGTTGACAGGAAACCCACTCAACAAGTGGTTTCTAATAACAAGGGGGATATAATATACTCATGTAGAAATAAATGTGTAAAGCTACTCCTTAAATTATCAAAGTCTGAAGTCATTAATGATTTTAAGTTTTTTCCATTTTCTTAGTTGTCTATTTTTTCTATAATAAACATATAAGTAACATTTTATAACAAAATTTATATATGAAACACCTGGTTCTCTATACATAATCACTATGAGTACCAATTAAGAAAAGCAAAAATTCAGTCCCATTATATATTCAAGGCTCTAATTAATAATGTTTATGTATAAATAAAAAGAATAAAATATTGCTCATTATTTCTTCATACCACTTACCTTATTCACTAGAAGATAGCAAATAAGTGCTGAATTCTCCTTTGCAAGAAGTTGAAACCATACCAGCTGGGAAGGTTTTAACTCTTTTTGTAACCACACCTTCCCGGTTTCAGTGAGTTCTACTCCTGCCAGCTTAACCAGCAAAACACCACATGGCTCTTCTAAAAAGTTTAGGTAGAAAGGAATGTAGCTTTAATACCATGTTGCAAAAACGAATTTCAAGGTCACGCGCCCCCTATGCCAAACAATCAAACATGTTTATTTATAAACACCCAGACACTCTAGATTGCAGGTTCATTTACATCTGTATTCAAGTTTTCTTTTTTTTTTTAATTATTATTTTTTTAACGTTTATTTATTTTTGAGACAGAGAGAGACAGAGCATGAACGGGGGAGGGTCAGAGAGAGAGGGAGACACAGAATCTGAAACAGGCTCCAGGCTCTGAGTGGTCAGCACAGAGCCTGACGCGGGGCTCGAACTCACGTACAGCGAGATCATGACCTGAGCTGAAGTCGGCCACTTAACCGACTGAGCCACCCAGGCGCCCCTCAAGTTTTCTTTTAAAGCAACCTAAGCATACAACAGATGGAATAATCTAAAACCCCCATTTCAGTAAGCTCCAGAACAGGATGTAGAACCCATTAATAAAAATATGAATAAAATAGCGCCTGGGTGGTTCAGTCGGTTAAGCATCTGACTCTTGATTTCGGCTCAGGTCATGATCTCACGTTTCATGAGATCAAGCCCCACATCCATCGGGCTCTGTACTGACAGTGCAGAATCTGCTTGGGATTCTCTCTCTCCCTCTCTCTGCTCCTCCCCTGCTCTCTGTCTCTCAAAATGAATCAAGAGGGGCGCCTGGGTGGCTCAGTGGGTTGAGAGTCCTACTTCAGCTCAGGTCATGATCCCACTGCTCATGAATTTGAGTCCTGCGTTGGGCTCTGTGCCGACAGCTCAGAGCCTGAAGCCTGCTTCGGAACCTGTGTCTCCCCTTCTCTCTGCCCCTCCTGTGCTTGCTCTCTGTCCTTCTCTCTCTCAAAAATAAAATAAACGTTAAAAAAATCTTAAAAAAAATAAATTAAAAAAATAAACATTTTAAATAATAATAATATGCACATATGGCAATTACAGTGCCATGGCGCTGCAGGGCCTCTGGGGGCAGATCCTACTGAATATCATCCCCAGAGCAGTATAAGGTACAGCCTGGACAAACCCAGGTGGCAACTTTGCTGCCTGGGCACTGAAGAGTCATTACTATTTCAGGGAGAAGTGATTTAAATTATTATAACATAATGACAACAACTTAGAAGGTAGAGGACTTATGAAGTCTAAATCCTGCTTAGACTGAAATGGTCAACAAATAAATCTCTCTTTAGGGAACAATAGTCACTCAAATTGTTTAAATTCTGTTTGATTTATTAAAAGAATCAATCACATAGGTATGTTTGGGGGGTGGAATCAACCTTATTCCTTTATAGGCATATCTCCTTGAACAGGTGAAATTCATTCATCTGAGGGTAGAAAAGAATCTTCTGGGGCAATTGGCTGGCTCAGAAAACCATGTGACTCTTGATTTCAAGGTTATAACTTCGAGCCCCACATTGGGTGTAGAGATTACTTAAAAAAAAAATGTGGGGAGCCTGGGTGGCTCAGTTGGTTAAATTCCAACTCCTGATTTCAGCTTAGGTCACAATCTCCCAGTTTGTGAGTTCGAGCCTCTCATCAGTCTCTGCACTGACAATGTGGAGCCAGCTTGGGATTCTCTGTCCTCTCTCTCTGGCCCTCCCTCCACTTGCACCCTCTCTCTTTCTCAAAACAAATTAAAAAAAAAAATTAAACTTAAAAAAATGTTTTAAACGAACTTTAAAAAATAAGAACCCCTTCATAAAATTAAAATAATATTATGAAGCTCCTTATTATTTAAAAAAAAAAATTGTTTTATTTATTGTTGAGAGAGAGAGAGAGAAAGACAAAGACAGAGACAGAGACAGAGCATGAGCAGGGCAGGGGCAGAGAGAGAGGGAGACACAGAATGTGAAGCAGGCTCCAGGCTCTGAGCTGTCAGCACAGAGCCGGATGCAGGGCTCGAACTCATGAATGGCAAGATCATGACCCAAGCCAAAGTTGGATGCTTCACCGACTGAGCCAGCCAGGCACCCCAAGAAGATCTTTAAATACAACTAAATTTAGGGGCACCTGGGTGGCTCAGTTGGTTGAGTGTCTCACTCTTGGTTTCAGCTCAGGTCATGATCTCCCAGTTCATGAGTTCGAGCCCCACGCTGGGTTCTGTGCTAACAGTGTGGAGCCTGCTTGGGAGTCTCTCTCTCCCTCTCCCTCTTTCTCTCTCTCAAATAAACTTTTTAAAAATGTATTTAAAATATAAAATGAATGTATAAGTAAAACTAAATTTATTCAACAAGCTTTGCCAAGTCTCCATTGGCTAACAATTATTTTTCTAGGGCCTGTGAATAATGAGATAGGTAGGAAAAGGTCCCTGCCCACATGGGGTTCAGTTTAGTGGAGGATATAAACCTAAAATACATGACTATAGGAAAATGTGTTTAAGTACTGTAACCACAGTGTGTGTCCACTGTTGTGGGTGTAGTAAAGAAAGAGGCTAATTCAGCTCCAGAGTTAAGGAAAGCTTCACAGAAGAGCTGACATTTGAGCTGGATACTAAAGAATGAACTGGAGCTCAACAGGAGCCAAGGCACTCTGGGAAAACTGTGCCAAGGGGCATGAGAACACAAATAAGCAGCAGGCAGGAAGGTCTGTGTGAGTGGAGTCTTTGACACAAAGCAGGGAGAAATGGGAAAGCAGCAGGGGACATCAGCCCCTGTTCGGCTCTCCAGTCTCCTTTGGTGACTCTTGTCCCTTTCTTCCCTAGGCTCCAGCACTCTAGTCTTCATATGGCTTCTCAGAAGAGCCATGCTCATTCCCATACACGTTCTGCCTAGCCAGCCCCCTCTCATTCTTCAGATCTCTGATTAAATAACAGCTCCTCCATGAGGCTTTCTCTGACCACTTTACAGGTATAGGTTCCCCATTCACATGACCTCCAGTAATGTTCATCCTAGCATCTTGCTCTTTTCTTCATAGCTCTTAGGACAATTTTCATTGGTATGTTGTCTATTTTCTACTTAGACTGTACTCTCCAAAGGGTAGTCTTATTTGTTTCACTCAGTGCCATGTAGCTACAATAGGTCCTAGAACATAACAGTTGCTCAATATTTGTGGAAAGAATGCTTGACTGCCTGAATGAAATACTGAATGGTTGAATAAAAAGAGGAGGGGGAAGAAAAGAACATCTGGAGACCAATTAAATAGTTCCTTGTATTTAAAACCAAGAGTTTATACTTTCTCTCACAGACAGTGGAAAGTTATTAAAACTTAAAATGACATTGTTTGCTACTTTACAAATAACTTCTAATTAACAAATACTAAAACAGTTGTATTATTCTTGTACTTTACTTACTTTTCCATGAAGTTATAATAGGTAAAGCAATGGGAATATGCTCAATTTCTAAACCATTCTCAGTTATTCGGCGTAATCGTCCACGTAGTTTAACATTCCTTCTTATAAATTCTACTGGAATATCTGAAGAACTTGTAAATTTTGATGTCTGTTGATTTATAAAAAAATATAACATTTGATTATTATTTTCATTTTAACATTAAGCATGTCAAATTGTTACCTAAATATTTAATAAGAAGACGTAACCCCTGAAATTTTTTAATTTACCCCTTAATTTTATATGTTAATATTTTAGTGTGATTTAATCAAAAGTGTTTATAGGAAGGGGGCACCTGGCTAGCTCAGTCAGTGGAGCATGCAACTCTTGATCTTAGGCTTGAAGATTTGAGTCCTACATTGGGTGCAGAGATTACTTAAGAAAATCTTTTGAAAAAAAAAAGTGTTGAGGCACCAAGATGGCAGTAGTTAAGCGTCCAACCTTTGGTTTTGGCTCAGCTCATGGTCTTATGGTTTATGAGTTCAAGCCTCACACTGGGCTCTGCTCTGCCAGTGTGGAGCCTGCTTGGGATTCTCTCTCTTTCTCTCTCTGACCCTCCCCTACTGTCTCTCTGCCGCTCCCCACCTTCCCTCAAAAATAAATAAACACCTAAAAAAAAAAAAAAACCATGTGAAATACTACAGGTTAGAGTCAGTATTTTAAATTTTTTTTTTTCAACGTTTATTTATTTTTGGGACAGAGAGAGACAGAGCATGAACGGGGGAGGGGCAGAGAGAGAGGGAGACACAGAATCGGAAACAGGCTCCAGGCTCTGAGCCATCAGCCCAGAGCCCGACGCGGGGCTCGAACTCACGGACCGCGAGATCGTGACCTGGCTGAAGTCGGACGCTTAACCGACTGCGCCACCCAGGCGCCCGAGAGTCAGTATTTTAAAAGATCTTGACAACTAGGATGATGGGATAAAACTAATGAAGGATAAGAGAATAAACTAATTATAGCATAGATTAAAAAGATTAAGAACCTTTAGTTAACTGTGAACTCAAAATGAGTGGAAGTGTGACAAAGCTGCAAAACAAAATACAAACTCCCTCTCCCCTACACTCCCCGCTGCGCCCCACCTAAGTTCAAACACCAAGCAACATTATAAGGAACAGGATCCAAAACGAGAGAGGTGAGGAAGGGATGGCTCTAAATCAGGCCCTAAGTGGAATATACTATGCTGTGCCAGGTACCCGTTTCATAAAAGACTCAAACAAACTGGAACAAAGCTAGAAGAGGAGAAAAAAGATGATAGAGTCTGGAAACCACATCACATGAGAAAACTAAGATTATTTTGCACCAGTGGGGGCAGGGGGTAGGCTGTGCCTGGGTTGTTCAGTTTCTTGGGTTTCCTGGGCCTTGGACTCTTGATTTCAGCTAAGGTCATGATCTCATGTTTCATGAAATCAAGCCCCTTGCCCAGCTCCTGACATCGCAGAGCCTGCTTGGGATTCTCTGCTCCATCTCCCACTCATGCTCGCTCGCTCTCTCTTTCTCTCTCTCTCTCTCAAAAATAAATAAAATTTTTTTAAAAAAGAGTATTTTGCACAGGGGAGACAGACAGAGTAAGTAGAGAGGATCATTAAAGATGTCTTCAATTACTAAACGTCCATCCCTTTTAATTTTTAGGTGTTTTCATTAAAGGACACACATAAAAAAGACACCAGAGTGCCTTGATGTTTGGAGTTTTAGAAATTTTGGAGTTTTAGAAATTATTAAGCAGCTAGCTAAAGAAACTAAATAGAACCAATGTTCTATTTCCTTGATTTCATACTCAAGGAATATGTGAAAAACATTTAAAGGCAGATCCCACTGTATCTACCTTTTCTGGATCCAATAATCCCTCAACAACATAAAGTTCAGTGCTGTGTTTCTGTGACATGGCACTATCTGGAAGATGAACTAACTATATACATAAAACCAGAATACAACTGCAGAGCAATACATAGAGAGGTTTCAGATAAAGTGTAAGTGCTAACAGGTCAAAATGGAAAGGATAAGAACACCGGAGGAAGATATTTTTAAAGGAAGTGAATCCTGAGCCTGTGATAAACAGTCTGCTTTCCAGAAGAGGCAGAAAGATGATGCCACTGACAAGGATGCTGTCCCTAAGCATCAGATGGTGAAGTGTCCTAGAGGCAAACAGACAAAAGCGGGAAGCTCTGTGAAGAGAAAATAAGGGTTTCAAATTCAGGAATATGACATTTGAAATCCAGTTCTGCCACATACTAGCTGGGTGATCTTGTGAAAATAAATTTAACTTTTTTGAGCATCCATCTCCTCATCTATAAAACCTGGGTATAAGAATACCGGTTTCATAGGATTATTATAAGTATTAAATGAAATTATGTAGGGGCACCTGGGTGGCTCAGTCGGTTAAGTATCCAACCCTGATTTCAGTTCAGATCATGATCTCACGGTTCACGACATTGAGCCCCGAGTCAGGCTCTGTGTTGACAGCGAGGGGCCTGCTTGGGATTCTCTCCCCTGCTGGTGTGCGATCTCTCTCTCTCTCTCTCAAAATAAACAAACATTTTTAAAAAATGATTTTAAATGAAATTATGTATATGAAGTGTTTAGCACAGTACTAAACTCAATCATCACTTTTTTTATTTTTTTAATATGAAATTTGGAATTGTCTACCAGTAATTGAAAGATTATGAGAGCTTGGTAAACTCAGGAGGAAGAAAAACAGCAATACAAAAAGAACACTGAAGGGGAACTATTAAGGCTCCCTGTGGCAGGCCCTTTGTTGGTTAATGCAATATTCATTCTCAAGCCTCTCTCCCTTATCAGCAGGCACTGGAAGGGATGGGAAAGTTAAATGGCCGCTTTCCCAACTCCTTTCCAGCTAGAGGTGGCCATACGATATAAGGATGTAAGCAAAAGTCTGCTGAAGGCTTCTGGGAAAATTTTTGCTTTCTTCATGAGATGTGGCTCGCACCTTCCTTTTCCCTCTCCTTTTGCTTTGAACAAGTATATGCTATTTGGAGCTAGAGTAGCCATTCTGTGCCATGAGGAAAGGCACAGAGAATCATACACCTAAAACCCTCTGTTACTGAATCACTCCAGGGATTTTGTGACATGAGGAAAAAGCCTTTTTACTTGATTAAGCCACTGTCGGTTGGGGTTTCTCTTACTTGTAGCCAAAGTCCTTCAACTGTTACACAACTGAGTTTTTTGTTCTCTAAGGTTCCAATGTTCTTTTTCTAGCTTCTTAGCCTGCTCTTCTCATCACATGTTAGTCACTATTATCAAAAGCCATAAAAATCTTAAAAAAAGACACCAGAATTAAAGTCTAAAATGAATAACTTCATAATATACTAATATAAATTTATATTAATTAATGCATAATTTTCATAAATCAATAACATACCTAATATTGTATAACTTAAAATCATCTATAACTGATTCATGTTCATTTTTAAGGGCTAACAAGGGAAATAACCCCTCAGCATTATTTTTACCTAAACACTTTTTTTTGTCAAGTTTATTTATTTTGAGAGAGAGAGCATGAGCAGGGAAGGGACAGAGAGAGAGGGAGCCAGAGACTCCCAAGCAGCCTCTGTGCTGTCAGTGAGAAGCCCAATACTGGGCTCGATCTCACGAACCATGAGATTATGACCTAAGCCAAAATCAAAAGTCAGAGGCTTACCTGATTGAGCCACCCAGGCCCCCTGTATTTTTACCTCAACTCTTACTCAGATCATTTAATATTTTGACAATTTTGAAACCTTCAAAATACAAATGTCATGGAATACAGATTGTAAGATAAAGAAAAAATGAAATGAATGAAAACAACTAAAGTTTCCAAAGTTCCATTCTAAAAATATATATAAGCTAAAAATGAATGACTTACAAAATCATGGAAGTGTTAAAAGAAAAAGCCTATTCGATTATTAGATATAAGGTTAAAAAAGAATGCAGGGCACTTAATAAAGAGGATAAAAGTTCTGACATTGGAGTCAGGGAGAAAAGGCAACAGATGGAAAAGATACAGTATAGTAGAGTAACACTGTGTAGTCAATGATAATATAAAATAATATAGAGATAATAAGTACAGGAAATAAATATACACAGAAGCAATAAACCCATACCAGATTGTAACATGACACTAAAATTACACCCAATGACAAGAATCAGTTATATAAAAAATACTTCTAAATCTTGAATTACTAAATGGATTTCCACAGTATCTATTATTAAAAAATTATTGAAAGGGCAAAAAAATACGCTAACTGAAAGGATAAATTATTTTTTTTACATCATACACCCTGCTTTATTCATTGAACAGATATTACAGATTGTTGCAAATCAGAGAAAGCATAAATTATTCAGTGTTAAAGGACATAATTCGACTGTGATCTAAATCTAAAACCACTATACAAAACAGTTTTGAGGCATTCCACAATGTCTGAAATGCAAATTTAGTGATTATAGCATTCTAGCAAACCAAATCCTTTACAGATTCCTTTTTAAGCATGAAGACGTGATTATGAAAATATAGACTGTGCAATTACTTTCCATAAAATCCTGCGAATGTGTTACTTTTAAATCAAGGTCTTTAAATATGTTCATTGTTCTAAAATAATACTTAAAACTTCTAATATGAATAACAAAATGATACCCAGCTTGAAACAAAAACTGTTTTGAAGTGAGAAATTAACTGTCTCTTGTTCATCACAGTTCACAGTGCCTTCTTCATTTTTTAACTTACCATCCGAATACTTCTTAGAAGTAACATTATTCCAGCTATGGCCATTACGGTGCTGATGTTCTTCAGAAAAAGATTAAATGATTAATTCTCATTAGTTATTATTCATAATAGTGAAAGTAGTAATTAGAAGGGGGGAGAAAGAAGACTGTCTTCCCAATATCCGTCCAAATAAGACACATCCTTCAACTAAAGGCCCATTTCTTCCAAAAAAACTTCCTTAACTGCCTACCTACTCAGTAATCTCCCCTTTCTTTCCCAAACACTCTGACATGTATAGTAATTATATACATAACATTGTATTGTACTCTATTGCCTTTTACTTTAACCGTGAGTACCTTAACTGCATGAATCAGTCTAATACTTCTTGAATGATGCCCACAGTAACTAGCATAACCCCGAGCCTAGAGTGGGAATTTAAATCTTTGATAGAAAAATTTGCCACCAAAACGTTACAATACAATGTCTTCGATGTATATATGGATGAACAGTTGGGAAAAACTTATCAATGTTTTTAAAGTGCTCCATTTAAGCTGAAACAGACCTAAGAGAGTTTAATTTAAAAATAAGAACCCTGCGGGGCACCTGGGTGGCTCAGTAGGTTAGGCGTCTGACTTCCCGACTTCCCGACTTCAGCTCAGGTCATGATCTCACTGCTTGCGAGTCTGAGCCCTGTGCCTGGCTCTGTGCTGACAGCTCAGAGCCTGGAGCCTGCTTCGGATTCTGTCTCCCTCTCTCTCTGCTCCTCCCCCGCTCGCACTCCATTTCTCTCTCAAAAATAAAATAATTTTAAAAAAAGAACGCTGCAACTGCCTCAACAAGAGTGATAATCTAACATGCTTTCCTTCAATAAATACAACTAGGTATGTAAGAAATGAACCTGAAAATTATATGCAAGGAAAGAAATGAAGATACTAAGATTGGTCTTAGTGTTGAAGACAGATACAACTCTGATCATGCTTTAAACAACAGGCAAACAGAAAATAAGGCAATGGAAATTTTGTAATTACCAATACATAATGCTTTCTTTCTGTAGATTTTGCATTTGTAGAAGGGAAAAGAAAGAAAATGAACACTAGGATACATTCTGTGATTGAGATATTTGGAATAATGTTATCTGTGGGCTAATTTAAACTGTTTCCTCTCTCAATCTGTTGAAGTCATTTTTTAATTTGAAATGACCCATGCATCAACTTCTGCTTCACTAGAAGAACCCAGGCCTTGCCAATTAACACCTATATCATTCATTCATTCATTAATCTATCATTCATTAATGCCACCAATATGTATCTAGTACTTAGTAAATGGCACGCGATACTAAGAGGACAGGAGCTGTAGTGGTGAATGAAAACAGCCATAGCCCTGGCCCTTGTGCTGCTTGGCTGCAGAGCTTTTTGCAAAGCTGATGGTCCTACTCAACTTCTCAGAAGGATGTAACAAAGTTAATCATTCTCTCTGAAAATTCTCTTCAGTTGACTTCTAGAACGCCTGGTTTTCCTTCTCTTCCACTGTTTCTTCCCAGTTTTTGCTGATCTCCTCCTTTTCACTTCCCATATTCTAAATGTTCAGTGTTCCTCAGGTCCCATGTCTGAATTCTAGGACTTGTTCCACAGCTTTTCTGACTTGCTCCAAGATGTCATCCAAGCTTTAAACTTAAGATTTAGGCAGTTCATTCCTAAAGTTGTATGTCCAGTTCCCATCTCCCTTCAATGCCGGATTCCTATATCTAAGTTGCCTAGATAATATCTACAACTCCGTTTAGAATTCTAATAACCATCTTCAAGTTCACACATCTCCACCTCCAAGTTCACATGTCCAAAGGGTCCTCTGAATTTTCCCAACAAATCACTGGCCCCCACTCCTCCACAGGAACAACTTTCACCACCATCCACCCAGTGGGCAGCCCCCTTGATTCCTCCTTGCACCCCACACCTAAATTATCCACACCATCCCCAGGGTCTTAGCCACAATCTTGTCTTGCCTGGACACCTAAGATGTCCCATTCTTAGTCGAACTCCAGGGCCCTCTCACGTCACTTAAAACACAAGGCCTACAGTAGGACCACGTGCCCTATCTTCCACCCCGTCGTCTCCGTGCGCTGTGTCCCCAACTGCTTTCGGGGGACGCACCAAGCTGTGCTGCGTCTTGGTCTCTGAGGTATCTCCGGGGCCCAGCACTGCCCTGGCAGTAATTAGAGATGGTCTCTCCAGCCCACCGCGGCCATCCCCACGCACCGAGCCCAGCCGGGCCGCGCTCCCTCCCCAACCGCCCGCCCCGCACTCGCGACCTCGGCAACGTGGCCCTCCGCCCAGTTCGGCCCCGACGGGCTCCACTGCCCGTGGCCTGCCCGCGCCACGTCTCCCTCAGGCTCGCTCCGCGCGACCCTGCGCCCCCCGCCTGCCCGGCCGGTCTGCGATACCCGGACGAGGCGCAGGTGGTCGTCCGCCCATTTCGAGACGCGCGCCACCACATTGGGCGCCGCTCCGTCCGGGTCCGGCGGCTGCGAGGCGGGGGCCTTAGGCCGGCCCGCCATGTTGCCGGCTTCCCGCGAGCCCGCGTCGCGCTCCTCGGGCGGACGGCAGGGGGCGCCGCGCTCCTGGGGCGGACGGCCAGGATCCGGGCTCCCCAAGCTGTTAGGGGAGCCGCACGGTGGTCGACGGTGGGGGTCCTCGTCTGCGTCGCCTGAGAGTGGCCTTACGACTGGCTGTTCGCTCCCTCTTCCCCTGGAGGTGGGCCTCCCGTATCAGTGACCCCCCTCCCCCAGCATTTATGCAGGGTTTTCCCACTGCGCCGGACATTTTTATGGGACAGGGACGGGGGCTGAAGGCTTCCCGGCCATGCTGGTGGGAAGACGATCAGTTTGTGACTTCAGTTAACCCAGCCTCTGTGTGCGTACCGCATCTCCTCTGCCATACAGAAAGGAAATTGAAGTAGTTCATTCCTTTCACCTGCTCCCGAATATAATAAGATGCATATTTCTTATGTTTGAATTGTGCTTTAAAATTTGCACAGTTCTTTGGTAATCCTATTAGGTGCTCTAAATTGTTGAACTGTTAATTAATTAAAATATATATGGAAAGCTGACTATATTAGTATATTTCGTATATTAGTAGTAGTATTAATTAGTATATAAGTATATTTTAAAACAAAAATTAGATGCCGGATAGTGTAAATGGTATAGTAACATTTGTGTAAAAAAATTGTGTGTGTGTGTGTGTGTGTGTGTGAGAGAGAGAGAGAGAGAACCATGGAAATCTATGCAAGAAACCTACAACAGTGATTGCCCCTGGAGAGAGGGATTGGGGTAGGAATGGTTGGGAGAACATTTTGCAGTTATGGAA